CCATAGCCTCTGCACAATGTTTTAAAAGCACAATACAATTAAAAAAACAACAACTCTTAATACAAAAGTTAAAACACAAACTAAATTCCTATTTTAAAACACACAAATTAAAAACAGCATTAAAAAGATAGCTAAAACATAATAAATATAAAAAAAACTAGAAAAAATAAATATTTGGCCTAGCATTTGCCTTGTTCATATATCTGTATCAAAGGGATGGTTGATAATAATATTGTTTCCAAACAGATCTAATTGCTTCATAGTAATAACAGCCCAGTATACAAAGTCTGTTTCCAGCAGAACTATGCATATGTTTTTAAAAAATGTTCTATAGCAAAAAGCAAGATTTTGCAACTGTATAAATAACATAATTTTTATTTTACACAATTTATTATATTTTTGCAAATTACACAAGCAACAAAGGTTCTCCTAGCACTCAAATAGTGCCTAGTGAGTCCTTGGGGAGAAAATTTCACAGTCGAGGCACCATCACGAAAAAGGTTCTTTACTGATTTCCACCTATGAAAAACTCAAAGAAGAACTTCAGAGGTAAGCCTCCATCCATGAAGCAAAAATCTTCCCAGAAAAATGTAGGGGTCTCATGTACATAGAGAAAACTAGAAGGGCTGATGAATATTTTACCGTGCCATTTCCCAGATATTTTCAGGCAAATCCGTAACTACAATTCTCAGAAAAGTGCTTTTGAAAAACCAGAAAACAGAAATCCACATAAGACCAAAATGCCCTCAATTCTGGACTTGTGCAGAATGATGGAGCTACAGGAAGCAGAATTTGGGGAAGTGTATTCAATTTCTATGTTAAAGATTTGTAAACCTCACAGTTTTAATGAAAATACTGAAGCAAATGCATATTAACAAATGTAAAAATGACCAGATTACTATACCTGCCTTCTGTCCTTTAATTTTATACATTATCTTAGCATGTTCCCATTCACCCTGGAAGTCAGGTGATAAGCAGGGACTTGTTAGTTCTTCACCTTCTCTTACTGTAAGAATTGAGAAAAGATACTGAAAGAGAGAAGATGTTACGTGGAAATTCTAATTTTAAAAAGTCATACATTTTCCGTCCCATTCTCATTGAATTTAAATACTGCCTCATCAACTGAGCATCCATCAGCCTTTATTTCTGAGGCAGTAAGACTCTTATCTTCAAACAGGATAATCAAAACACCCATCATCTTACCACCTTGCCTTTTTCTTTTAGCAGACACAGGGTTAGAAGATAAAGAAAAGCTAGCAAATAAGATCCCTTAATTGCAAAGATGGCTTATTGTCTATAAATTCTCTACACAGCACAATGGCCCAGTTAAACTGAACTATCTATGATGGTTTAACACTTCAAAAATTCTGCAGTGACAATATGTCTATGCTGATTTCTTTACCTGATTAGTTAAGGAATTCCCACTATTCTTAACACCAGTTTTTCAGAGTGCTTGAGCAATAACAATAGT